ACCCCCCCCCCCCCCCCTCCTCATACACCCCTCTCATACACCCACTCCATGCGGCGCACGCGCGGAGTGGCGGCGGTGGTGGTGACGGTGGCGTTTGCGGCATGGTGGACGCTGCTGGTCGACCACGAGCCGGCGACCTTTGTCAACAATCTCGACGAGCTGTCCAATGCATGGGGCGTGCAGCGGTCGCTGGACGATGGCTATGCGCCATCGCTGTTGCCGGAGCGGAGACGGACACTCGGTTTTGTTGTCGAAGCCAATCGGAAGGCTCTGGCCAAAGTTGATCAATGGATGGATTCCGAGGTGCTCGCCCAGAGCCTGACAGGCTACGGCCTCGATGCCGATGCCGTCCTGCTCCTCGATCGAGACCTCGGCCGCGAGCCGGTCCTCACCGATGTCCTCTCCTATCTCACGCTCTATCTCTACGAGCCGCTCTCGGTCTTGGTCATCGGCGACGAGGTTGGCAAGTCGGTCTTCCAGCTGCTCAATCTCCACTCGCAGGCCGCCCTTACCGCTCTCTGCATCGAAGACATCAACCCGACGCTCGAGCGCTTCCTCACCCGTTCCACAGTCGCCCAGGAGCTTGGCCCGCCGGCGTTGCCGTTCGGATACAAATCGCCGCGATCACACGGTGCGCCAGCTACTGTCACCCGCTACGTGTACAAGCCCAAGGACAACACCCTCGCCTATTACGCTGGTGACGTTCAGGACGATGCGGTGTGGACCGCCCTAGAGGGCGCCAAGTTTAACGTCATTGTCTCGCTTGTCGACCTCTCGCCACAGCTCTTGCGGTATATGTACTCCAAGCTCACGCGGCATGACCTCATCGTCCGCTCTGAGTTTGTCCTCCTCTTTGATGGCCTCGCTGATGACGCCCTCGTCCCCATCTTTCGTGACATGGTCAAGGATCTCGGCTCGCATCCGACAGCTGCCGCATCCGATGGCACGCCGCACGTCTCGTCATGTGTTGCCCGGATGCGTGGCGCGCTCCTTGGTAAGAACGCTCCTTATCGCGACGTCGGCCTCATCACCACCCTCGACCTTTCCGAGTTCCGTCGCCGGCACGTCGTCGATCCTGTCGAGGCGACTTAGTCGTGAGTTGATGCCCACTGTGGTCTGTGCAGCAGCTCGATGACTGCGCCAAGTGATCTGCCAGCCACAAAGGCCAACGCAGGTGTGTTCCTCCTTGCGTGCTCGCCGGCGCACTTGCTGGCAGCGCGGCTGTATGAGGCACACTTGCCTGCATCATGCCCGCCGCGACGGCTGCAGTTCTTACGCCGGCATGTTTGTGGACCACACCTTTAGACCGGTTGGTGTCATGGCCGCCGCGGCGATGACAGCGAGCGGCACGTTTGGCACTGAAAGCGAGCTCGACACGCTTGGCACCGAGCCGCTGTCTGGCGAGCCACAGACCGGCTCGCGCGCCAGCATCGGATTCGTCACCCGCCCGGCTGTCGGCGCTGGATTTGCTTCCTTCCGCCGCGTCATGATGGCCATGACCGTGATGATGATGATGGCCATAGTGATGATGATGATGATGGTGATGACAACCATGACCATGACCATGACCATGACCATGACCATGACCATGACCATGACCATGACCATGATGTGATGGTTATTGGGCGAGTGGTGAGTATTGGGGCGATTAGTGGGTGGGCGCAGGGCGGGGAATGAAACAGTGCGAGATGGTGAGCTGGCGAGTGACCGACAGCAGCAAGTGGCCAGCAGCAGCTGCGAGTGGGCAGCAGCAGCGAGCAGCAGCTGCGGAGTGGGCGGCAGCAGCGAGCAGCAAGTCGCGCCCCACCACGGCCACCACGGCCACTACGGCCACCACTGCTCTCGACAGGGAAAAAGCATCAGGCTCGGCAGATAGCAGTGCGCAGCGAGTGTGAGATGAGCACAGCAGCCGAGGGCGGAGCAGGCGGAGCAGGCGGGGCAGTCCACGGAGGGCACGGCCACAGGGAGCGAGACGGAGACCGACACAGAGACGGAGACGGAGACGGCCACGGGGACGGAGGCAGGGAAGAGGGCGGGAGCGAGCGGAGGAGCCGGCGGCGGAGGGAGCGGCGGCGTGCAGGGCTGTGCGGGAGCATGTGGGACCTCTTGCCGCACCAGGCGTCGGACGTGGGTGTGCTGGTCCACCCAGGCGGGGCGGCGGTGGCCACGGCCGGCGGGCATGCTCCCCGTCCGGGCGCCATGGTGGCTGCGGGAACGGCCATGTACGTGCCGCGGGCGCTGAAACGGGTCTTTGTGGGCAATTTGCCGCCCGAGACGACCGCGGATACGCTGGGCGGCTTGCTGAGCGAGGCCATGCGCCGCCACGGCCTGGTGGCACCCGACGCCGCCGATCCCATCAACGTCGTCATCCTCAAGATGGAGCGCAGGTTCGCTTTTGTTGAGCTCCGCTCGCCAGAGGTCACCACCCGCGCCCTGGCTCTAGACGGCATTCCCTTCCTTGGCGTCCCGCTGCGCATCTCTCGGCCCAAGGACTACATTCAGCCGCCAGGCGCCCCGCCGCCGCCGCCGCCGATCTACTTTAGCCAGGACGGGGGGAACGACCCGTTGTTTGTGGCCGACATCGTTCGCGAGTCGCCGCACAAGATCTATCTCGGCGGGTTGGACAAGGCTATGACCCGCGACCAGGTCATGGCCCTCGTCGCCGAGCACGCGCCTCTCGCGGCGCTGAACCTTGTGCCGGATGCCGAGAAGCCCGGCCACTCGCGCGGCTTTGCCTTTTTCCAGCTTCGCGACGTGTCGCAGAACGCGGCGGTTATCGCGGCGCTTGACGGCAAGACCGTCTCTGGTAGCCAGCTCATCTGCCGGTTCTCCAAGCCGCCGGGCGGCGGGACCAGGCCAGGCCCAGGCCCGAGCGCCTTTGCCACCGGCGCCAACATGGCACCGCTCTCTGCACCCACCCCGGCCCCAGTCATCCAGCCGACGGCGGTGCTGATGCTGCTCAACATGGTGGTCCGCGGCGACCTCCTCGATCCTGACGAGTACGAGGACATTGTGCTCGACGTCAAGGAGGAGGCAGCCAACTACGGCACGGTCGCCTCGGTCGTCATTCCGCGGCCGGGTACCGGGCCCAATGGCGGCGATCCGCCGGGCATCGGTAAGGTCTTTGTGGCCTTTGCATCAGCCGACGAGGCCGCCCGTGCCTCGGCCGAGCTCGCTGGCCGCACCTTTGGCGATCGCACCGTCCTCGCCGCCTTTTACGACGAGGCCAAGTTTGCCGCCGGCGACTACTCGTGACGGCAGGAGGAGAAGGGAAGGCGGGGGAAAAGAGACCATGTGCATGTGCGTGCGCGCGTGTGTGTATGTATGTGTGTGTGTGTGTGTGTGTGTGTGTGTGTGTCGATCGGAGACGGTGGCCCCGAGGGCGGGGCAGGGCGTGGGACCAGGCAGCTGGCCTCGATGCCGTAGCCATCCATCATTGAATCGCTCGCGGGTTTGTTGGTGTGTCGGGCGGGGCGGGACAGGGCAGGACAGGGCGGGCGGATGCACCCCTATCTCGGGACAGGCAGGCGACAAGGCGGGCTCGGGAGGCATGCGGCGAGCATGGGCACGGGTGGTAGCGGGCTGGCTGGCGGGCGTGTTGCTGCGGATGGTGCTGGTGGTAGCGGGCTGGCTGCCGCTGGCGGTCGCCGAGGCCGGCGGTCGGGCACTGGGCTCGGCCGTGGCCGCGAGCCGTGCATATCGATGGGCGGTGGCGGTGGAGAACGTGGCGGTGGCGCTGCCTGGAACAACCGATCGGGGAGCGGCTGAGGTGGCTGCCGAGGCCCTGGCGCACCTTGGCGCGGTTGCGGCCCTACTGCCGCATGCTGGCGCAATGGGCGCTGCGGCGGCGGCCGGTACCGGCGGCGATGTGGCGGCGGTGGCGGCGGAGCTGACCGGCCAGCCGGCGATTGTGGTCTCGGCCCATGTCGGCTGGTGGGAGGCGTTGCCTGCGGCGGTGGGCACATGGCTGGCACCGGACCAGCTGATGTGGGTGGCGTACGCGCCACTGGCGGATGTCGCGCTGGATGCAGCGGTGGCGGCTGTACGGGCCGCGGCTGTGCCGCAGATGCGGCTGATCCCGGCTCGCGGCGCGTACAAAGTGCTGGATGCTGCATTGCGCCGCGGCGATGTTGTCGGGCTCATGGGCGATGCGTTTGCGCCTGTGGCGGTAGCCACCGGCCCGCCTGTGGTGTTTGCCGGGCGACGGCTGCGCGGGCGGACGGGCGCGGCGCGGCTGGCGGCGGCGACTGGCGCGCCGGTGTATGCGGCGGCGGTGCTGGGTCGAGCAACAGCGCCCCGGCTGGTGTTGGAGCGCGTGACCTGCGATGTCGAGCAGGGGGTTTATCCGGCGCTCGACGCGTTGGTGGCGGCGGCGCCGGGCACGTATCTATGGACGCACGATCTGGGCAAGCGGGCGGCGGCTTTACAGGCGGAGGAGCGCAGGGCGGTGGGCTAAGGATGGAAGAGGAGGGCGGCCTCGTCGTGTGTGGGGGACCAGTCGGGTGGAAGCACGTCGTCGGGCGTGTAGAGCGGGCGCCAGTAGCGCTGGTCCCTGCGGGTGGCCTTGATGTACTGGATGATGCGCATGTCCGGCGATGTGTTGGGGTACGTGCCATGCGGAGTGGCTGACGACCAGATGACGAGCGAGCCTGCGCGAAGACCGACGCGCTGGATGGCGGCGCGCATAGGGTCGTCCTTCGGGATCTGAACGGTGGTGTCGCCCGGCATAGGCTGTGTGGCGAGGGCGTCGCCGTTGGCGGCGGCCCAGGCACGGATGTGCGGCGCCACGCCTGGCACGCAGTGGAAGCCGCCATCGTGGACGGAGCAGTCCTTGAGGGCGAGGACGCCCTGGAGCTTGACGTTTGCATCGGCGGCGTCCCACACATTTGCGGCGGGCTCGATGGTCCGCCACGAGAACCCGGTCGCCTCGCCGGTCTTTGGATTAAAGTCAAGGTGGAGCCAGCCCTCGACGGTCCGCCACTCATCCATGTCGATGAGGAGGCACTCGCGGCCAAGGGCGTCGGTGACGCGCGGGGCTTCGGCGAGCGCAGCGGCATCAACCTCGCGGGCCGGATCGAAGATGCTCACCGGCAGCGGAACGTCGCGGGTGGGGCGCATCGCGGAGACCCGGCCGATGTTGAGCCACATGTCGCGTGTACCGAGGATGGCGGCAAAGGCGTCGACGACGCGGGCGTTGACCCGGTTGCGGAAGAGGGCCGGATGCAGGGCAATGGTGTCACCGAGGATGCCCAGCTTGGACAGCGCCGGCCAGTTGGCTGTCACCCACGTCTCTGGCTTGTGGCGGTCCAGCCGCGGCTCGATGGGCGGCGAGTGGCGCTCGAGCAGATCCCACACAGCATCGACCGACGCAGCCGCCTCATCGGCGTCGAGGCACCCGCCCACCACCACCACGCCCAGCTCGGCAAATCGCGCCGCAATGGCCACCGTCTCGGTCACCGGCAGCGCCTCAGCATAGCCTTCGGCATCAACCGGCAGCGGATTCGGATGGAACACGTATTCCTCGCCCGCCGACGCCATCGGCGCGTCGACCGGTATGTCCGTCGGCACAGGTGGCGCGGCTGTCGTCGCCTTGCGCACCGCCCGCAGCTCGGCATGTAGGGCCTCAGTGGCAGCAATCTCACGAGCCGTGAGCGGATTGGGCTGATTGGGCGGAGGGTCTGTCGGCTTGGACGAGGCGGATCCCATGGCGGCCGGCGAAAGGAAGGTAGCGGCGCAGGGAAGTGTCGCCTGATTGGGCACGCGAAGGGGGGGGGGGGGGGGGGAGAGGGATCTTCTCTGGCTCCCCGCATGAG